GAGAGACAGTCAAAACTTGCTTGCTGTGTGGGAAACTGAACTTGAAAAATTGTGTGGTTAACAGGTACCATATAGCAACTTTATTGCTCTGAAATCAGTTACGTATAAAAGCCTAAAATTGCCAAGTGCAGTTTCACAGAAAATCTACATCTAATTGACCTCAAAGCCACTTCCCCGTTTTTTTTAAACGATATAATATTCATTTTGAAACCATGCACCAGCAGAAATATAGCAGCAACCTGCGAAGGGTGGAGCTTACTGAGGTCACAAACACTAACCTGACTAGATTAAAACGCCATATTTGATTCAGGCCTTCACAATTCTGATATAGAGAGAGATATATAGAGAGAGATAGAGATAGAGATAGAGATAGATAGAGATAGAGATAGATAGAGATAGAAATATAGAGAGATAGAAATATAGAGATAGATATAGAGATAGAGATAGATATAGAGATAGATATAGAGATAGATTGCAGAATATAAGGACCAGTATGCTAGGTCCTCCTTAAGTTGACAAGGAAGAGATAAAGAGGGTTTAAAGCTATTTCATTGCACCAAACAGTAATAAGACAATTTCAAAGACACTTCAAGCTCAGAGTGCATCAGCAAAGCAAGTTTAAATATTGCTTTGGTTGCATGTCTCTTAAAATGAGTTCAGCAACTTTTTCAAAGCTGTTTTCTCTGCTGCTGTGGATTCAAGCGTGTAAAAACATTGCTTGTTGGTAAAGAAGTCCTCAGTTTCTCATCTCTCTTAAAATTACTCCCCTTGACCCTGTTGGAACCTGGTTAGAGGCAGTGTGCTGGGAAAACTTGTCATCATGTTTCACCCATCATGTTATCACACTTTCAGCAATAAACTAAAGCAACTTAATGTTGCCTACACATTTGGTACCTATATGTTAAATATGCTTTCTGATCATTTACCTGAATATACTATTGTAGAAAAGCAAAATTTACTTACAATTTAGAGTGATGTGGACCAGATATAACATGTACAAAGGGCCTGTTTAGCCCTTTTTTATGCTTCAGTCTAACTCTTGAAAGCTCCCAGCTTTCAGAGGTGTTACACAGAGTAAAGCCATAGCCACCCTTGTAAACAAATAGTACAGATAGCCTTGAGCTCTGGAAATTTACCCACCCTTTCTGAGATCGTTTTAATATTTTTATTCATGTTGTAATTGCACCACTTTGTCTTTCCTGGGATTATTGCCCAGACGTGTACCACACCCTGCATGTGTTACAGCTACAGACTGAAAAAGCTCAGCGAGCAGTCACGCACCGGGGTGGAACAACGGTGCCTCATTCAGTCCTGCTTTCATCAGAAAGTGTGCGCAAGAGTCAAAGCATACATACATGTGTGTAAAAATAAATGGGTTTCCTGTTTCTGATCTTTTCTTCAGAGAAGTTTGGTCGTGTGTTTATGAAACTGTCACGTGTTCTGAAAAGGTGAATAAGTTTAAAGGAAATCAAGCAGCGGTGTGGAGAAATATCTCCATATTCAGGCAGATTTCGCTCTTTCTGCATGAACATTAGTCATAATTATGCAACTCTGGTTGCAGAAGCCGCTCGTCTGGCATTTACAGACACCGCATGCTATGGCATTTTCTTAAGGGCGTAAATTGTCTGAGTGCCGATCACCACGGTGATCCTGACGAATCAAGAAGTGGCTGAGGCTCCTCTAGGTGATTTAATGTTCTAGCAACAGTACAAATGTGCAACTCAAAGAACAGTCTGTGCAAGCAGGTACCTGCATGACAAAAATACCTGGCAGCGGTGTCCTTACATACACACCAAGCCAGTTCTGCTGATATAAACCAAGCCAACACTGTTTTTTGTTTTTTTTCCTCACCAGAATAAACTTTTTTTCCCCCTCATACTAACATCTCACCCTTCCACCCACAGATGCCTCTTGCTCAGATGAAGATTTCTCTGAAGTTGTGCTCATTCCTAGAGGCTGTTCAACCATTTCATC